ACGCCAAGGAATTCATCTTTCCCAATGTGCAGGGTCAGGGGAGCGGCGCCAGCGGGGTGTTCCCGGGTGACAGCCCCTGTAACCTCGGCCCTCTCCAGTACAGCAATGCCTTTGATGTGTTCGCAGCCTACGGAGGCCTCAACGAGAAGTCTTTTGTAGATGGCTTGAATTTTAGCTTAAATAACATGCAGTATTCTAACCAGCAATTCCAGCCTGTCATGGCTAACTAAAAAGAAAACGAGAGTTGCATCCTACCGTTCAAATGCACGGGCCCAAGGGGGAGTTGGTTTTTTTTTTTTTCTGAAACCTCCTTGAGATTTTTTTTTCTTTTAAGCTTATAGTAAGGATACATTCAGGCTTGGTTACAAAAATAAAACATGCGTCATTTTTCATTTGCCAACCAAGCACAAAGTTATTTTATACTGACTGTGTATTTTAAAGTATCCGCTCAGATATGGCCTCTTACAGTATTTAAGATAGAGCAAGGACATGGCTGATTTTTTTTTTTTTATAAAAAATTGGCACTAATAAGTGGGTTTATTGGTCTTTTCTAATTGTATAATTTAATTTAGTACAAAGTTTGTAAAATATCAGGATATATATATTGTTTCTACGACATGGTATTGCATTTATATCTTTTTACTACAGTGATCTGTGAGAGCAGCAGCTTCATGTTGTATTTTTTTTACTGAAATTGTAAAATATCCATCTTAAAGACATCAACTATTCTCAGAATTGTGTACAGGATATTCCTTTAGTGGTGGAATTAAAAATGTACGAATATTTGCTTTTTCAAAAAAAATGTATTTTCTGTTAAAGGTTTAAAGATTTTTGCTATATATTATGGAAGAAAATGTAATCGTAAATATTAATTTTGTACCTATATTGTGCAATACTTGAAAAAAAACGGTATAAAAGTATTTTGAGTCAGTGTCTTACATGTTAAGAGGGACTGAAATAGTTTATATTAAGTTTGTATTAAAATTCTTTAAAATTAAAAAATACCTGTCACGTGGTCTTTGTTTTTAGAAAGCCCCCTGGCTGGAAGCGTGTTGTAAGTGCTAATGAAGAAATATCGTAGTCATCGGATCACAAGGGGGTCGTGGGAAGCAATTCTGAGTGCACAGATCGTGGTTTGCCACATACACAGTTGTACCACCAAAACTCTGTCAGCTGCTGAACCCTTGGAACAGCTTTGGTTTTTGTTTTTTTTGAACAGAGTCTCCCAAGTTCAGGCTAGCCTCTAACTTGGAGCGATCCTCCTGCCTCAGCCTCCCGGTTAGAGGCTGGCCTCTAACTTGGAGTGATCTTCCTGCCTCAGCCTCCCAAGTGCTGGGGTTACAGGCGAGCGCAGGCCTCCCAGCCTGTTCACTGTGGCAAGGAGAATAGAACTATGGCTTTCCAGCCCCAAACGGCGTTATTTTTAACAACCGTCATCACACCGTGTCCCCTTTTTCCGCGGTGGAGATGATGGGGTGTTAAGTATTATTTTATAGCAAATTTTTAAATGTCACGCTGACATCTAGAAGACTGCCAAGGATGTGAGATTCATTTGTAATCTGAGAGGATTTACATGAAATGTACACGGAGACACCATGGGATCACTTTTCTGCTTTTGCATGGGAGATGAACAACTCAAAACTGCCTCGAACAAAACAGCTGACCTAACTGAAAAAAGATTTAGATCTGTTTTGTGATCCTTAGCCAATTCAGCACGAAGCTAGACAAGTCGGCCGAGTCTGTTCATATTTGGACAGGTTGCTAAATGTTAGTTACCTGTGCTCATTCTCTCAGCAAAATGGTTTTTTGCAGGTGGTATCCAACCCTGCTAGCTGGGATTTTATTATTTTATATTTTTTACTTTTTTGCACTGTGTCTCACTAACCCCGGCTGGCCTTGAACTTGAGGGGATCATCCTGCCTCAGCCTCCCAAGCGCTGGGATGACAGGCATACACCACCGTGCGCAGCTGGTTTGAGGTCTCAGGGACTGGTTTCTGGCCTGTCAAATTGTAGAGTTGGTGAGGATGGTGTTTTTATTTTGAATTACAGTAAATTAGAAGAACCCCTTTAAATGAATCACTTTACTGTTCAAATGTTCACGGACGCTGCGTTAACACCGCACGGCTGAGAAAACTGTCTTAAACTGGAGATGAAAACAGCTCTACATTCACAGTAAGAGCCATCGCTGTCTGGGTTTCCAGTGAAATAAATCTGGCCTGCAGTGAGTGTTTTTGGACACCAGTCCACAAAGGCCTTTTGTCACTTAGCCATGCAGGGTAGAGCAGTAAGTTTAAGGAGACGAACACCAGAGCCAGGCTGTTGGGTCGGCTCCGTGGTGAAGCTTTGTCCCTCAGAGGACAGAATGAGGCTAGGAAGAAGCATGTGGACACGGAGGGGGGCGGCACACGGCGTCTGCTCCGCCGCCCTTGGCAGTCGCGGCCTTCTGATCGGTGGCCAGGTCTGCGCAGAAATAGTTCTGAGCCCCGGCTGCCAGAGACGCGGCGAAGTCACGGAGGAGAACTGCCGGCGGTGGAGCAAGGCGCCGGGAAGCAACGTCGTCTTTCTGAAAATCAGAGTGCGGCAGCCGCACAGTCCAGGGTGCAGTTTGGAACAGGAGGACGCTGAGCCACCGTCAGCTTTGAAATACCGTTCGCAAGCCTGAGCTCCTGGGGAGTCGGCGCCGGCGTGGTACCTGTGCCTTACGTCAGTGGGGCCCTGGAGCGCGCTAATCCGCGTTTCATCGCGATTGTTTTCCTGAAAACTGTTAGTCTGAGCTTGATGTCCTCCAGGACTGTTTTTTTTTTTTTAAATAGAGAATGAACAAAGGCCCTGTTTTCATGCCTTTCTGCTCATTAGGAATGGAAAATTTTTTTTAAAGTGCCTTTGTCTACCAAACAAAAGCTTACATCTTAGTCCTAAACCTTTCTCCTGCTGGGCCGTAGCTCGTGGCCCCTACATGAAGACCTCCGAGTCCCCTGGCTTGGTGTCCAACATATGCCCTGCGGGTTCCCTAGCTCCCAAACCGCAGCTGCCTAAGTTTAGCAGACAACAATGTACTGTGATTAGTGAACACAGCTCTGGAAGGTGAAGTAAAGGTGCTGAAAATGCTTCTCTAATACATGTTATTAATTCCACATACAGATATCTCAAGTATTAGCATCTTAAATTGAGAGATGTAAGAAGACTTCAGGACTTAGGTTATTCTGAAATAAGTCACTGCCCCAGCATAGCAGTGCATATCTGCAATCCCAAGCACTCGGGAGGCTGAGGCAGGAAGATTGCTGTGAGTTCGAGGCCAGCCCAGTCTACATAGTAAGTTCAAGGTCAGCCTGGACTACATAGCAAGACTCTGTCTCAAAAAAAGTCACCATAACGTATAAGGAAAAAGTGTGTCTTTTTTTATTAGCGTTAAACTAGTGAAGTAAAATGATGGGAGTGCTCACTCTGCGGCCCTTCTGTACAGACAAGGAGAGCCCTCAGCATGGCCCACGCCATGTACAATTTTGGGAGAGTAGTTTAGGACCCGCTGCAGATACCAAAATCTGGAGGTGCTCAGGTCCCTAATAGAAAAAGACTTAGTATTCGCCTGCATTTGACCTACGCACATCCTCTCCTGAATTTAAATTCATTTCTAGATGGTTTATAATCCCTGACCATCTAAATGACATGTAAATAGCTCTTAGGCTGTATTGCTGAGGGAACGACAACACAAAAACGTTTTCTTTCCAAACATTTTCTAAGTGCAACAGTTTGAATTCCCGTGCGCAGAATCTGCAGAAGGAAAGGGCGGCCGTCCATCCCGGCTGGCAGGATGTGTGCTTTCGTCAGAAGCTGGAGAACAGCTCGAATGCGTGAGCAGAGAAAGAAAACAGCGTTCGTGAAGACAAGTATGTGAAGCAGTCCTTGCTGAATCAAACCCATTACAAAGTTTAGTACGCCAATTAGTAGAAGTTTAATCAGTCTGGGCCAGGAGATCATTCAGGATCAGAGTTGAGGTTTTTTTGTTTGTTTATTGTTTTTTGAGACAGGGTCTCGCTATGTAGTTCAGGCTGGCTTTGACTCACCATGTATCCCAGACTGGCCTCAAACTCAAGGCGATCCTCCTGCCTCAGCCTCCCAAGTGCTGAGATTACAGGTGTGGGCCACCACACCCAGTCAGGGTTCTTTGGTGTTTGCAATATACTTGGAGATACTATATTCTTGTCTGGAGCATCCAGGCTTAATATCTGTGTGCACGCAACTGGAAACTTGCATGCATGTATTTGTTGAAGCCATTTTTTTTTTTTTATCCTGTAAATGATTCATTTAACAAATACTCCTATAGTATTATGCGCCAAGCACAGTTCTAAGCAAGTTTATAGACCAGAAAGGGATGGGGGCTGGGAGAGTGGGAAGGGGACCGAGGCACAAAAGGCTTAATTCACCCAAGACCTCGTGGCCAACAAGCAGCAGATGCAGGATTCGAACTCAAGTAGCTGCGGCAGCGTTCAGCTCCTAAGCCTATGCTTTGTTCCCCTCTGGTCTGTTGTTATTCTGGTTTGAATCCAGGGAAATAAGTCCATTTTTGATCTATTAGTCACATGCCTTGTACGATTTCCACAGACACGTGATGAGAAGGGCTCCATCAGTTCTCCTACTGTAACAAAATGCCTGGGGCAATTAACTTATAAGGGGAAAAGGTCTGCTAACCTCCTAGTTGTCTAGGCTGGGTGGCCCCATTCTTTAGGCTCTGGTGTAGGCACCAGCTGGCCATTGTGGGGAGTGCCTGTTGGCGAAACTGCTCAAACCCTGAGCCAGGGAGAAGACAGAGACAGGACAGGCTGGGGTCCCAAGATCCCCCAAGCCCTTCCCACAGGCCCCGCCTCTTAAAGGTGCACACACAGCTCCTCCCAACAGGGCCACCTACACATGAGCTTGGGGAGACCCTGTGTCCAAGTCACGGCCCTATGCTCAGGAATCGGGCTATTCCGACAGAGATACTTTATATCCCCACTGGCCACAAACTATAATGATAGGTTATCTGGGATGTGTTTAGAAATCACATGAGTTATATCAGTGAGTTACATCAATGCTCTCATTTTGTACATTTTCTTAATTCAGTCCCATAATTACTTTTCTTATTTTAGAAGTACTGGGCGATTACCTGGGCCTAAATATTGTAGATTTAGGGCTCGAGATATAGCTCAGCATGCATGAAGGCCTGGGTTCGATCTCCAGTACTGACAAAAAAAAATTCATTTTAGAAGCATAATCTGTTATGGATGAATGTAGGGGCTTTTTTGTTTTTGGTGGTAGTACTAGGAATTGAATGCAGGACCTATGCACTGAGCTACATCCCCCCAGCCCTTTTATTATTTATTACCATTATCATCATCATCATTATTTTGAGACATTATCTTGCTAAGTCCTTTAGTTGCACAGGCTAGGCTCAAATTTGCAATACTTTTTTTTTTCCTCTCCAAATTTGCCACCTTCCTGCCTCAGCCTCCCAGAGTGCTGGGATTACAGGCATGTACCACTAGGCCCAGCTAATTTATACATCTTTTTTGTTGGTGTTAGTTCTGAACATATTTAAACTGCACACTAAACAGGAAAGCCCATTTCTAAAAAAATGTCCCAGAACAATTTCTGTGGTTTATATAGGGATTAGTATGCCAAGTTACCCATGATTTATATTTTTACATTTGCATTTTTGGATTAGTCAGACTTTCATTGGATTAAATACTGTTGAACCTTCAGATGGGCTTTTGGAAGTTCAGACTGGGCCATTGGTCTTGTTATTAATGAAATTTGACTTGTAAGCTAGCCATTGCTCAACCTTTGAGATATATAAGATACTATATTTTAGATTTGCTATACATATGTTAGAATTGCTATACATATGAAGAAGATTTGCTATACATATGTTAGGATTTTGAGACTATCTCATTGTTCCTCAACTTTAAAAGAAAACATTTAATCGGGAGGCATGTCATGCCTAGAGGCTATTTGTTTGTTTGAG